GACTGCTGTAGCTGAACCCAGGACAGACAAGTTTGGAAAGTGTTGACGCAGATACTCCAGACCGGGAAGAAATGCATCTGCCAGACTGTTTTCAAATTATCTTCTGGTTATCTTTAGAATCAGAAACTGGAAACACACACTGTGTATCATTCTACTGAGTCTCATGTGAAGGTATGTTCTTGGTACATGACAGCAACCACTTACCCTTGCCATTTGTTCTGCCAATTGTAGTCGTCCATCTAGTTCACGTCTGATCTGGGCTGCTTGCTCATCTCCATTATCCAACTTGGATAGAGAATAAAAATAAAGTTAACTGCAAGAAATGTACTATATTTTAACAGCAAGTACTGTAGTTAGAAACAAAATATAAATGAATTGCATCCTTTTTGTCTTAAAATCAGTGAAACGCTAAGCTAATACATGGGTTTGAGTCTCGATAAAATAAACGTAATGGCCATCAGTTATCCATGGCAGTCAGGGTCTCTGAAAGGTAGCCAGCATTTCCTTGAGTTTTTAATACTCAGGCTAAACAGAGGCAGTATATATTTCCTTATGAAAACATTTCTCCATGAAGCAGAAAACTGGACTGACAGACTGGCTTAGAAAGTATTTGCAAGGTAATCTTCTCTTTGGTGCCATGAGTAGGAATATGTAAGTAAAAGAAAAGAAAACTGTGTGGCTACGCCTTCTAAGTGTGCCATTATTTCCCTCACGTAGCTCTTTTCTGCAAACACCAGCCAGTTGCCCACATCAAGGCATATCCAATTTTTGAGCCTTCTGTATTTTCATACTAAGGGAATAGTCATGACTAAACATCTGACTTCCATCAGGGAGGTAAAGGGGAAGGACAGATCTATTTACCTCAACAGAAAAAGACAGGTCTCAACAGAAAGGAGACTTTCCAACTCATTCTTCACCCATTTACTTATTAAGGGTGGTGGTGGAGTATATGCAAGTGGGGCCTCACCTCAATGCACTGACCTGCAGAGCTGGTTAAGAGGAAGAAGAGTGACACATCTGGAAATGATCAGACACAACTTGCCTTCTTACCTGAATAAATGTCAATCAAGGACAATGACAGAGTGGAGGACTCTCTCTGTCTCTAAGGCTAACCACAGACATGATGCAAATTGCTGATACACCCCTAGTGCATTTAATATCTGGCTAAGGTTTAAGGATACCTGAATTGGTCTTCACTAAAAAAACAAAACAAAATAAAACTTAAGTTGATTATGGATGCAAATTGGCAAAAATTGGTTCTCTAATTAAACAAGATAGTCAGTTAAAGAATGCACAATTAATTTGGTAAATGATTCATTACATGAAACTAAGGTTTTAAAATAAGACTGCTATTCAGGGCATCAGGCCAAATATATGATGCCCTCTCTTTTGCAATGCTCCTCAGCTAAAGGAGGAGTGTCAAGGCACAACTTAAATGACTGCCTCTATTATTAACTCATTTGAGAAGGCAAAAGATTTTGTTTAAAGACTGATGTTTCATTATTTTTCCATTGAAAAAACACATGAAATGATCACTTAAGTTAATGGAGATGTAACCTGGTTTTCTAAATCTTAGCTTTTAACTTAAATCTGCATTGCTTCCCAAAATGTTTGTACTTGAGTACTTAAAAATGTTCTGATTTCCTTATTTACTTATTTTTAAACTTCAGTTTTCTTCCTGAAATATTTATGCATTATAATGGGTTTGAAATGTAGGTACATAATGATATTTGGTAAGGTATAGAAAGAAGCTGATGAGATGAAAGACCTAAAAACACTACTTTACTTACAGAAAAGAGACAAGGTGGCACCACATAATGCTTCTGACCCTTAAATATGAAGGCATTTTAAAAAATGCAACGTAAAGCCTTAGAGATTATTTTAAAAGAGGGTCTATATAAATTCCATTTAATAAAAACATTTCAGCTTTCTGCAATGGCAGTAATTATGCACCATAGGCATTTACTGACTGCACCAACACTAGAGATGCTCCTCATGTCATTTAAACCTCACATAACCAATTAGTCGTATTTTAGCAGCAGGGGACCTCACTATGGAAGACTCTACAGACAACAGAGACCTGTTTTCAATATAAAATACATTAGAATTCCTCACCAAACAAACCAATGTTTCCCATATGCCATATATACGTCCCCTAAAACTTGAAAACCTAGGCAGAGACACTCCTCCCCTTTTGAAGGCTAGTTAATTCCCAGATGAGAAAGAGTATGAATAAGACAACTCACTTGTGCCCTTTCTTTCTGCAAAGATGATTATTTGGATTTTAAAAGGTTCTTCAGAAAAATCAGTAGTTGTGAATGACTATGCTTGGGTGAATAAGAAGCTACTTTTTGTATATAAAAAGAAGTGGTAGCTCATTATCTTTTTCCCCCACACACAATGGTGTTACATAAAAACAGCTTTCTAAAATAAACCTGCCACCATTAGACATCAAACTATTAATTTGAAAATGTTTTTATTCATTCATGCTTGAAGCTGTCTTTATTTTTTCTCACTCTGAAAAGGGCAATCATTTTTATTACAAACTTCTTTATTAGTAGAGATGGAGCTGGAACGTCCTCAATATGCAAGTTATCCTCCAATAAGAAATGTTGGGTGTTTTCAGTTGCTTCTGTAAGCTTTGACTTCTGAAAGATAGGCTGAAGTTTTCTACTCCAAATTCCTGCTCTAACAATTCCAAACAAAACACTCCCTTGTTTCTGAAAAGGCCAGGGAAGACAATACACTTCTTTAACCATCATAAGAAAAATGGTGACCATCTTGTCAAGAGCTCTAGCACCATCTTGCTCTGAAGTAAAGATCTGAAATTTAGCGGGGCCCTACCTGTGAAAATAGCTCAACTCTGGCCAAGTTATAAACCTTTGGAAAATCAACTTTGCAGCAGCCAGGCTACGAAAAGCCTCTAGTGGAGACAAACGCAGATTCAGCATTCAGCCTCATCTCCAGGTTGTGCTGCTCTCACCCTTGAATATGCTGCTCTTGCTGTTGAATATGCATGGAGTCTAGGCTCCTCAAATATTTGCTGATTAAAGACAGGATGTAAGTTTATCAGACTTAAAAATCATTATTCAGATCAACAGCACAACATCTTGCTTGGCAAACAGTTGCTTAATTTATGTGCCTAAACAGCACAGAATGGAAATACATCTGAATGAATGAATGTTTCCATATTTTAACAGGTTGCAAAAGACTGCATACTTTGTGATTCCAATTCAAATAATAACTGAAAAAAATTACTTCAAAGGCTGAAACATCTATGTATTTTGGAGAAAAAGAAAAATGGTACACTGGCAAAAAGCCTGGTAAATGTGCAAGAGCAATTTTGGGTGAAAAAGGTACTAATGCTGCCAATACATACTGCACTAAAGCCCAGGGCGCTCATTTGCATCCCTCCACATATCAAGGAGGTCAGATGTCCTATGCCCAAGAAACAAGACCAGTTTAAGCATGAGTGAGTGAGTACTGATCTGATTCAAGTTATTGTTCTTTACATTCACAAGTGCTCAAACTAACTGATAGTTCCTCCAAGTGACTGTTTTATTAATGTTCGGTTAGCTTCCCTGCAGCTTTCTAATTCATAGTAACATCAATGTGAAATTACATTTTCCTGCCTATAGCGACATAAATCTCTCTACATTTAATGACAAAATTGACAGTGCACATCTCTTAGGACTTGCTCTTCTTTCTGCAACACAAAATCCAAAGTTTTTTCACTCTATGTGACAGTAATGGCCATTTTTCCTTTATAACCACTTTTTGCCACACACGACCAAGTCTGGGCCCTGCTGAGCTGATAGGTTATTTGTGGATGTCCATGTGAGGTAACCTGCAGGGTCCATCCTGGCTACTGTCTGACAGCCAAGGCAAAAACTGTCAACATACACCAAATGGAATAAAGGGCTTGGATTTAAAGCGCTATGATAATGCTGGGGGAAAAAAAAAAAAAAGGATTTTTGGATGTAACTAATGGCATCCTGCAGCAAGGCAGGAACAGAAAGCAAAGGCCAAAGAAGTCCCAGTGCTCAATTTCAGCTGTCAATCAAGTAAGCAGCAAGCAGGCAGGTGTACTAGATGCAAATACCCATGTTTTTCAGACCATTGTCCTTGCTACTCTTATCTCTGACTCTAAAAAAAGGAGTGTTGATTTAGACAGACCTGCTGCCTCCAAGACTCACAGGATTTGTTCCTGTTCTTATCTTTACACAGGCAGACTTGCTCTAAAGGACAGACTGGGAAGAGATTAAAGGTATCTAAAGCATTAAGGATTCACCAGGCACTGAACACAAACAGCCTGCGGAGATTCCCAAAGTTTCCTAAGCTTGTGAACCAAGATTAGGAGCTAAATATGTAAAAGGAGAAGGATCAACAACTTCCTAGTCAGGCCAAAAACAGAGTGCCCAACTCCAATCTACAACAGCAGATGCTTTTGGACGTGAATTCAACAGCGCTTCACTTCCGAAGAACAAAACAGCAACAGAAATAAATTGCTTCCAATTCCTTTGGGAGAGAAAAACCAGATTTGACTAAGAGGCAGGGCGTGAGAAGCTTTCCAAATGGCTTCTACTAGACCTTTTCATAAACATTCTGCCTCCTGTTTCGCAGCAAGAAAGACACATAAGAACTGTAGTCACTCCTCTATTTCAGAGGAAGCTATGCCATTCAACTTCAGTTTTAGAATCTTTTATCTTCCTTGTGTACAGATTATACAGAGGGTTAATTCAGATTCATAAAAAAGATTAATAAAATGGTATTAAAAACCTCTCGTGTTCTCTGCACGCTGCAAAGTTCCTATCATGGCTGATCTTGCCTGTGTGATGGAATCTTGCAGAGTTTTGTGGGAAATCTGCAGAACACAAACTTTAAAAACTCAGTTCCTAAATCTCCCTCTTCCCAACTTGTTCATTTTCCCCGTCAACACATACAAACAGTGAGAAATTGTTAGTTTGGCAAATAAACAGAGATATGTTTTACAGTATGTGCAACACAGAATTGAAATATAAGAGGAAGGATGTCAAAGAGAGAAAAATCTATTAATGGTTAAAACAAAACAGGAGGGAAAGCACCTGTTTCTGAAATTATTTCTCTTATGAAATACCAGAATACATGTTTGCAGGTAATTCTAAGTCAAAAGAAGAACTCATCAACCACTGAAACATCTTTCAATTTTTCTGCAGCAAGTAAACTTATAAAAGCTGAGAGGTCCAAAGCCTGCATGAGGTGTTCGAACAACTTTCCACAATGCACCGTCAGGCCCCACAGCCTTT